GTGGACTTGCACTGTACGCTGGACGCACCGGTGGATACAAAGTGGAGTGGCAATTACTAAGGTGCCTTGCCAATGGGAAGCCTTACTAATGGGAATTTTTTTCGCATTTGAGTACCTGGGTACAATGGTTCGTGCTTATTGCGTCCTAGTCCTTCGCGCTGTTTAACTTTTCAGGTGTAGTTAATTAGCATATGCACTGGCTGTGTACCAGACGACCTTACACAAACAAACGTATAGTACAGTATTTACTATGTTTTAACACGACTCTAACGAGAGGGGTAACTTTTCATAGCGCCCAGGAAGAAAAAAAAAATAGAACTTCGGTATTCTATTGTAAAGCGAGGGTCGACTTAGCTAAGGAATATCTGGAAAAAGATACTCGCGTTACATTCCGGTAAATACGGTACTCATTACGCATGTGCCTCAACATAGTTCGGGCTGCTTGGTTCATGTTAAAAATGTGTACTGAACCAGCGCAATGAAGAGCCAGTACACGTATGCAGAACAGCCAGAATAGCAACACTGCAATCCCACGGTGCGGAACTGACCTAACTACGCATCGTCATCGGCCCACAGTCATGGATTAAGGATACGAGCATACGTGCCTGCTATCAGTACAGGCTAAAATCTTTCTATTCGGAACAATTCCATATTGTGTACGTGCTACACGTACATACGGGAGGGGGGGGGGGGGGGGCGATCTCAGCGTGTTGCTTCAATATCGCACGCTCGTATACCACCGGTACATATATATGCGAGCCTCAGCACATAGCGATTCGCGTAGGACAGCTGCAACCTATCCGATTGTTTCCAAGATTTTGCCGACGCCGAATTCCACGTGGCGCGCAATAAAAGGCGTTGCAAGATGCGGGGACAATAGTAAAACGAAGTCAAAACTTTTTTTATAAGCAAATACTTAGATGGTTGCCTTGCATCCTCGAACAAGAAAGGAAGAAAGGAAGAAAAAAGAAGAAGGACAGGAAGAAAAAAAAGAAGAAAGAAACAGAAAGAAAGAAAGAAAGAAAGAAAGGGAAAAGAAAGAAAGAGAAAGAAATTTTTTTCCATGGCTTTTCCAAGCATAGACTTCCGGAGTATGTACTAGGCCATCAAGTACATACAATGTGACGACGAAACGGCACACGACGCCATTCATTTATTAGAAGCAGGATGGCTTCCTTCCATCAGTCCTGTTTCAAGAAGTACAGCTAATGCGTTCCCTAATGTTACAAATAGAAATGCAATCGAAAGCAGCAGCAAGAAAGACTACGAGTACCCTCCGTCGTGACGGCATGAAGAAGTAAGAAGCGGCGACAGCTGCTTTCATTTCCTCCTCTACACACCACGCGGGGAAAATGAAATCAGTCCCCGGAACGGCGTCGACCCTGATCAAGGAGGAGCTGCAGGGGAGGGCGATCCATCCACATGCGGTGTCCCCCGCGCTCATAGGCGGGGTACTCGTCTGAAGAGCGCGAACGCGCATATAAGGTATATTGCCCCGCGCAGTCGCGCACGAACTGTAAATACACAAGGCACGTCACATAACCCCGCATTTTGTATTCCTTTCTTTCTTTTTCCGTAAACTTAAGTTTGTTTCTTTTTGCCATCGCTACGGTATTACTGTAACATCCCAGCGATGATACAGCCGTGCATTTCCTTTCTCATCACGAAGGTGGACGTCACCAGGCGCGCAAGTTTTATTTTTTTCTTTATTATTCTCAAGATTTCTCAGTAAAGAAACACTTCACTAATTTATCTTTACTTTCTTATTCCGGCCGCAGTCCACGTGCTACATGTGCGCGGGTCGAAGACGTGCGGCAGCAACCGTCGCACTGCGGCAGCAAAACAACGGCACTGTACACGCACGCGCGCACATACGTACAGGCGAGCGATTGCGTAACGTAAGGTCAGGAGAGAAGCGTCGAAACAATGGGTGGGAGAATAGAGATGTACGTGTTCTTTTTTTTTTTTTTTCGCTGTGGGGAGCTCGACAGTGTTTCTCAACCCTCTCAAGAAGACGGGGGCCTTCGCAAGGTTAATTTGTTTACCGCGACTATAGTGCCTAGAATACCGCGACGGTCCGATTTGCGACCGCATGTCGTCCTTATAGACGTCACGCAAAGCCCCTCCCCCGTGTTTACGCTGGACCGCCACGTGGGTCGATGGGCCACCAACTTGAGAAAGAGTAAAAAGCAAAAAAAAAAAACGACCCGACCTTACCCTCTCCTTCACAATCCTACGCGCACTACGCATAATACTACGGTGACTACGAACACAAGGCTTATTTTCACAGTGACTGGAGGATCAACCGTTTACCACACATTGAAAAAGACAGATAAGTTGCAGAGATGCAACGGTATAGCGCTGCCGTCGGCATGCGCCCACTGGAGTGGCAATGATCGTCATCCTAATCATCATCACATGGCTTTTCAATTGATATTCAACAATAATAATAATAATTGAGGTTTTCCTTCCCACAACCTAAATATGATTATGAGAGACGCCGCAGTTGAGGGCTCCGAAAATTTGGACCATCTGATGTTATTTGACGTGCGCTGACAGCGCACAGCAAACGGGCCTCTCCGCCGAAATGTGAGCGCCAGGGCTGGAAATGAACCCGCGACCTTCGAATCAGCGGCCGAGCACCCTAGCCATTGGTCCACCGAGGCGGACTACAATTGATACAATTGATGGGCGGGTCGTAGAAGTTGGTAATTGGCATAATTTAAACCATTGCATGGACTATGCCGTCGTTCGACGGAAGCGGCTGAAGTGAGGGGCGTAAGGCTTTATAGAACAGGAAATGTTTTTTTTTTACGTAATTTCGTGACGTCATGGACACCGCTCTCTACGCAAGTATGTTTTTAAAGATATGTACTCACGTAGCCTTGAATGGAGGTGGCTTGTACAACTACCGCAGTATTTCCAAATCCGAAATGAAATACCTGCTCAAACACCATGCCCGCCCCCTGAGAAAACCGCGTATCGAACAGAAGGAAACCGAAACACAACCGGCGATGCCTTAGCTGCATATGAGAGAACCGCGAGGTACATTAAACAACACAATGTGAACTCGCGGATGACGAAGTGGACGGACTCGCCAGAGGAAAGGTTTTTCCCGAAAACGTCTGGCGAAATATCAGAGCCGGAAGCACAGAACTCGGTGAACAATAAAAACCTCCAACGGAATCTCGGGTTAACTTGGTACGATCGATATGTTGTTCAAAAGGACAAGCATCAGTTACACCAGCAGCCATTTTCTGGCCAATGAGCCAACCGCATAACAAGGCGCGCACTAGAGCTGGACGCACAGAGGCGTTATTGTTTTGTACAGACAATATTTAGCGAGTGACGTCACAAAAATGCGAAGCGGCCCGGCAGTCACTATCAGCAGATCGAAGAGTAATAAGTCGTTCGATACAATATCGTGACGCGTATTGTCACTGAACGCGTGTTCGAATCACACGACTCGGTTTTTCGATAAAGTTACAAACGTGTCATGAAACGAGCATGCGCAATGGTTACGAAGCAATTCGCATAATGCGAAAATTCGTCTAATAAGACCAACCGAAACCGTGTATAACAGCAGAATTGGTAAGGATAACGTATCTCGAGCACCTTGCGGTCATTTGCAGAGCACACGTGCAACTTTTCAAAGATCTTGACTTAACTGTTCGCGCTCGTTTTCAAGACTTTCAATTATATTACTCATTAAATTAGGAACGTGACCGCACGTATACAGACCGACACCAAATGAACGGTAGTATACACGCTCAAAAAATAAATAGGTAGCACATTCCCACTTTCAATTAAATAAATGAAAAATATTATTTAACAAAAATAATTAAAATGTCGTCAGTGTTAATGGACGAGCATATTGTTACCTAACATATGACTGCCTAACACACGTTAGGCTGTCATAGGTCAGGCGAAACCGAATCCTGACCGCAGTATGCGAAAAGCAAAGAGGGGTATTCTAGTTCAGATTAAAATAAATGTATAAGTGAATAAATAAAGTTGCGAAGACGGGTGTTACGGCGGCAAAGCATCCTCGGTCGGCGTAAAGGCAGCAGCTACCAGCTGGTGTGTGAGTAAGAGCTTAATGAATTCTACTTTTTCATTCTCCCTTTCACCTGCCACAATGCCACACAGACAAACATTAAAAAATAACAATAATAAACGACGATCGCAGCTGTTGTCGGTCGCACTGGTCACGCGACAAAGGCGCGTTTCATAACCGACGATACGCAACGTCAAATTTGCATCGCAGCAATTCGCAGCTATTTCAAACTGTCCCTACGATTCTCACTGGAACACGTAGAAAATGGCAAACTGTACAATCATCTCACGGTATATACGCACAGGTCAGGCGCAATTATCACACAATAGAATAGCGCACAAGCGCCACTGCCGACATGATCGAAACCGTTTTTTTTTTTTTTTTTAAATGCGTCGTTTCACATATGCGCCTCGACACAGTCAAACGCAGTCGCCCTTTTTAACGGCGATCATAGGGGCGCGTTTCCCAAAACTCGCGCCCGACACCGGCTTTCCAACAATACTCGAAAGCCGCATCCCTCCACAGACGCGTACGACGACGAGACGCGTCTTTTTTCATTTTTAGCGACACTGTTTTCGCTTCCTTTTCTACACTTCCAAGAAATTGACTCGCACGGTATTCGCGCTTTAATGTCCACCTCGTTGTCAAAGAAAATGCCGCGACAGAACCCGCGCCCAGAGCGCGTGAAGTCGTTGAAATGAATGAACGCGTTCCACCGACTCCCATGCATGCACGCTTTCAACTTCCACTTTCGGATCGTGCCCGTCGGCCACGGTATCTAACGTTCCACTCAGTTTTCTTAATCAGCCGATAAAACTGCACGGCTGGCGCACGCCTGCTAAGGTAAACAACCGCAGCATCCGATCGACCTTTCCCGCATTTTTTTTTTTTTTTTTTTTGAGGGAAAACAAAAAAAAACGACGGTTCTCTGCGCCGTACTCAC